GATCTTTTTCTTCAGCTGTGATTGTCTAGTATAATATGTAACAGTTCAGTACTCTTGTCTTTGTTGAAGGGGCAACTATTATAATGGCTTTGTTCGTCCCAATATCCAACCTGAATTAGCTGTCAGGGATTAGTCAGTTTGTATGATGTGCATATTGAGTAAAAGTGCTAGCTCTTTAAAATACATGAAAAGACACAGCTCACTCACTGTGTGAAACGACATGGGCAATTTCTTTTAATCGATGGCATTCAGCAAGTGCCGGCCTTGTCATCTCCAATCGACAGCTGGGTATGATTTCATTTTCTCAAGCTGGTCAATACAAATAGCTCACATTCAATGAAGTCCCTAGCCGCTAGTCAATGCCAAGTGTTTCCCAGTTTGTCGAATCAGATCTTTTGTTGGGTTCAGGAGATGGTAGGACAGGATAGAGTGGTCGATCGATGGCTGTCACCCCTGAGCGGAACCTGATTTAAACATGAATCAACCATTATTGAGACATTGTAGAAGAAACAGTTTTAGAGCAATGGAGTATTTGGCGGATGCCTTTCATTACAGACAGAGAATTGTTTACATTTAACAAATCCCTAACTACCTACCTACCTATTTTGCTAGCTATCTCGCTAGCTAGCTATCTGTATCTGTATCTCTCTTTCTCTCTCTCTCTCCCTCTCTCTCTCTCTCTCTCTCTCCATATATATATATATATATATATATATACAGTGCTGCTCGATAAAAGTGACTCACCTGATTTCTTTTACTAAATGTTCTCTTCTCCGATGAAACGAAAATTGAGCTAAATTCAAAGGATAAGCGATCTAAAATCTGAAGAAGAAGCTTTGAAAGCTCTTTGAATTTAGCAGTAAGTACTGTCAAGCATCCGTTCAGTATAATGTTCTGGAGATGCTTTTCTTTCGTGGAACTGGTGTCTTAAAACCTATTGAAAAGACCCTCAGGAGCGATTAGTACAAGAGAATTTTAGAGTTATGTCTGCTCCCTTCTGCTGAAAGGGTGCAAATCGACCCCACCAAGCTCATTTTTATGCAGAATAATGCTCCCTGTCACAAATTAAAATTGATGAAGGAATACTTTGATGAGAAGCAGGTAAGTGTTATGACATGGCCGCCCAATCTCCTGACCTCAACCCCATAGAAAACTTATGGAGCATTATAAAGTACAGGCTCTTGAGAAAACAGTTGAGCAACAAAAAGGATTTGATTGTGAATTTCATATCCGAATGGAATTCAATGCTTGGGGATGAGATTTGCCAGAACCTAAAAAAGTCAATGTCAAAAAGGGTTGAAAAGGTTATTCAAAATAAAGGAGGACCCATAGATTATTAAATATTTCGAACTATATTACCTGTTATAAATAAATTATACCTCTATTATTCTTTAGTTAAAGCTGTTCGGTTATGTTTCTATTGATTACTAGTTGCAGGAAATAAGTGAGTCACTTTTTTTGCTTAGAGTTTTTACCTAAATCTCATTTATATCCAAAATTATAATTATCAATAGAATACCTTAGGGTGAGTAAACATTTTTACTAAATGGTCGGGAAGGGGTCTTTATATTAGTAAGATTAAAAATTAGTTTGACCCCAAATCCATAGGCGAAAAATTTTTTAAGCAAAAAATCAGGTAAGTCACTTTTATCGAACAGCACTATATATATATATATATATATATATATATATATATATATATATATATATATATATATATATATATCGTGCTAAACAAAACTGACATAATATTGTTATGATTTTATATTATTTTCAGGACTAAAAAGTAGAGGAAATTGTGGATAACAATGATAGTCCATGTCCTAAAGGGACACGGTACATAGCAGAAAAGAAAGATTTCCATCTATGTCATTAATACTTTCCACAAGCAAGTGAATTCTGTAGAAATATATTACTGTCTCAACATTATTTTGTAAACAAACTGATTTATTCGTGTCACCCCTCGCTCTCTCTCTCTCTCGATCTCTCTCTATCTCCCCCCACACACACACATACATACATACATATATATATATATATATATATATATACATACTGGTGATATTAGTGGCCAGTATATAGCTATCTGTATCTGTGTCGCTTTCTCTCTCTCTCTCTCTCTCTCTTTCTATCTATCTATCTATCTATCTATCTATCTCTCCATATATATATATATATATATATATATACATATATATATATATATATTGATGCATGTTTCATTAAATGATATAGACAAGTTTTTTCTATTTATTTTGAGCAAATTCCTTTTATATCGTCTGATAAGCTAAATAACATTATCAATAAAAGATGAAAGAAAATCACCATATTGATACATGTTTTTTAATCCTATGTAAGCTTTCGGCTTACATCATAAGAGATGGCAATTACATTACAATACATTAAAAATACACGGACATAGTAACAATTTAATTTATTGTAATGTATTTGTCATCCCTGATGATGGCTTATGTAAGCCGAAAGCTTATCAGACGATATGAAAGGAATTTGCTTAAAATAGATAGACAAAACTTGTGTATATTATTTAATGAAACATGCATTAATGAAAAAAAGCTGCCTAAATATACGCAATATAGCAATATATATATATATATAATATTTTTATTATACGGGATTATAATAAAAACATTTTACAACTCTACGCTATACAAAAGCTTTCATGTTTCAATACTATGACTGTACTTCCTCAGACGATGATTGGTAACTGGTGATAAAAATGATATTTAAGGGAAATTAAAAAAACAATTACCTCTTTTCCAAAAGTTAAAGTGGGGGCATAAGGTCAGAATTAAAATTATACGTGTGGGTATGGCTCGATTAGCCATTTGAAAGTCAGATCTACGCTAAATAGAAAAAAAAAGGTCAATGGTGAAGGTGGGTGAGTTATTTTTTCTTCTCAGGATAAACTAACAATGATGGTATGCCACGGTACGGAATAAAAGAATTAAAGTATACATTTGAAAACAATAAATTGAAATAAAAATGTGTTCTTTGAAAAACCGGGCATGCAGGTCATTAGAGATTTTAAAACGATTATTTATAAAATTAAATGAACAGTGAGGTCTCAGATCTACGCAGACCGACTAATCACATAATTTTATTTTATGTTTTTTTCTTAATTTCTTTGTTTTTTCTTCTTTCTTTTTTATTATGAAGAATATCAACGAAATATATGTCGGCCCATATTTTGAGGCATGGAGTTAAAACAATGAATTTTGGAACCAGCTGAAGTCAAGAAGGAAAATGACGCACTACGAAAGATCGTTGTTGCTTTGAAACAGATATACTTGACAAGCTTAACCCCGTAGTCATATATATATATATATATATATATATATATATATATATATATATATATATATATAATGGACTCTCCGTCGGTTTCGACGTATGAGGATCTGCCAGCTTATTGATTCAATTATGAAAGATTATGCGCTAATCTTAAGTGGCATTTAAGACCCGCTAGTGATTTACAAAGGAGGCCACATATGGAGCAAGTGTGAGGATTGGGAGATGAGTTCACTGATAGATTGGTTGACCTTTTAGATCTTGCTCTCGCTTCTTGAAGATGATTCAGACAAGCAGATTGAAAATTGCTGACTCCACTTTATATATATATATATATATATATATATATATATATGAAGTTAATCCATGTGTAATTTTTGGGTTAATGCATGAACAAAAGCGCAGGAAATTGCAGAGTTCCCTGATCGACCACGTCCCGAAGGAAACAACAAAAACCTCACATCCTTCGTTTACTCTAGATTAACGCGTAATTATAAGACAAATGCTGATAAATAAATATTTATTTTTCGAATTTTTCTCATCGACCTTCCAGAGCGATAACACCAGGAAGTATACTTCTTGAAAATTCAACCGTACTGAGATTCGAACCCGGTTCTTACGGTCAGAAAACCTTAACGTTCTAACCTCTCGGTTACACGCCCACATACATATATATATATATATATATATATATATATATATATATATATATATATATATATATATATATATATATATGGTATTTACAAATTCTACTCCACGTAACTTGGTGTGATAGAGTGACTTACGTGCTCTAGTGACCCACAAAAGTATAATGGCGAAGTCTATCTTCTGACATTGCCAATCAAGTTTATCTTTGTTCTATCCTTCCTACCAACTGCAGCATATACATTTACCCAGTATACGTAAAAATAAAACATTCAGGTTGAAACATTACATCTTGATTGTTATATTTATTGGCATTAACGTCCTTAACGTCCATGGCATAACGATAAACTACATCTACAAGGCCACTAATTGGGATGATTTTAGGAATGTGGAACTACCTCTTTATTGCTGTTGTTCTTAGGTCCACCCAGGACACCAGTTAGAATCCCAGCTATGGGTAAGTAGTTAACCCTAAACAAAACCAAAATATTATGGAAGTATAAAAATATTTTATATTAGAAATACCAGCAATACATTCTTATATATAAAAAAATTACCTTTTTATCGTTAAATAAACAGCAATACATTTTTAAAGCTAAATGACCAACAATATATTTTCTCTGTAGTTGAAGGCGTACAACTGCGGTCAAAGTATTTAGATTTCCGCATTAAATAACCCAGTTAATTTGACATGGCTCTAAAAAAAATGGCCCAAAACGACCAACGTCTTCTCTTTTTTATTTACTTCTTTCATTCCGTATCTTTCTTTCTGCTTACGATTTTCATTACATCTCTTCTTTTTCATTGACGACATTCCCATTTCCTCTTTACATATACGTCCTTCGTTACGCCTTCCTCTCGCCACTTTTTTCCTTTCATTTTATCTGATTTATTTCACTGGTGTCTTTTATTACGTTTCATCTTTTCAATGTACGCCCTTCATAAAAGCTCTTTCTTTTCAATTTCCGCTTTCATTTTTCCTCCTATTTTGTGCATGACACTTTCTTTCCAATAATGACATCTCGTTTTTTCTTGACACTTAGGACCTTTCTCTCAATTATATCTTTCCATTTACGTCTTTTATTGAGGCTCTCCCTTCCCACCTACGACCATCGTTAAATCGCTTCCTTTTCACTTACGAGCTTGCTTACATATCTTTCTTTCAAATGACGTCCTTCAGTAGGTATCTTTCATTCAGCTAACGATCTTCATTACGTCATTTCCGTTCAAATTACGACGGTCGCTATCCTTCTATGTTAAAACATCCTTCATTAAAAACAATATCTTTTCACTTACGTCCTTCATGAGATTCAGTGACTTTCCTCTCACAACCTTCAAAATTCCTCTCTCTCTCTCTTTCTTTCTTTCCAATTGCAACTTTCCTTTCTTTTCTTCCATTCCACGACCTTCATTGCGTCACTTTCCTTGTATAATCCTCATTCCTTACGCCTCTCTCTTCCCACAACCGGACTTCATCACGTCTTTTCCTTGCGACTTACGATATGACTAATGTGTCTTTCTTTCCATTTAAGTCCTTCTCTACGTCCCTTTCTTTTCGCTTTCGATCTTAATTACGTCTCTCACTTTCCTCTTATGACCTTCAATATTTCTCTCTTTCTCATTCTCTTTCTTTCTCTTTCACTCTCTCTCTTTCTCCCTTTCTTTCTTTTCAATTGCAACCATCCTTTCGTCGTTTCCATTCCACGAACTTCATTGAGTCACTTTTTTTTGGCATATACCTCCTTCCTTACGTCTCTCTCTTCCCACATCCGGACTTCATTGCATCTTTTCCTTTCCACTTACGACATTACTAATGTGTCTTCCTTTCCATTTACGTCCTTCTTTCCGCTTACGATCTTCATTACGTCTCTCACTCTTTCCATTTACGTCCTCCATTACGACTGTCCCTTTTCACTTACGGTCATCATGGCGTTTTTGTCTTTCATGCTTTTTTATTTCGATTTCTCATTTTTCTTTTGCATATGTTTCATTTTTCTCCTACACACTTAGCATTCACCCTCGTCTATTGCTTAATTTACTTATGTGGATGTCTCACCAGATATACTTTCATTCTCTCCTCACTCTCTTTCCCATCATGTAACTTAATGGAGAAAAAACATTACATAACAAAATCATTTTCTTTCAACATAATCTTCGCCTTTTTCATTGCACCTGGTTCAAGTGCGATTACTAATCACAGAGATCATAGATTATCCATTGGACCTTTCAGATTTACATTCTGTTAATAACAAGAATTCAGCTGCATATCTTTTATTTGCCCTTGTGTATTTAATACTACGTTGTGTTTAAAAAATATAATTTTGTATAGTTACTTTCAATATAGGAAGATTATCACACATCGGTGAAGTGTCACTGAAAAATCTTACTGCCTCTGATAGATAGATAGATAGATAGATAGATAGATAGATAGATAGAAAATGAATAAACAGAGATAGATAGATAGATAGATAGATAGATAGATAGATAGATAGATAGATAGATAGATAGAAAATGAATATAGATAGATAGATAGATATGAAAAAACTGAGATAGATAGATAGATAGATAGATAGATAGATAGAAAATGAATAAGCAGAGATAGATAGATAATGAATAAACTGAGATAGATAGATAGATAGATAGATAGATAGATAGATAGATAGAAAATGAATAAACTGAGATAGATAGATAGATAGATAGATAGATAGATAGATAGATAGATAGATAGATAGATAGAAAATGAATAAGCAGAGATAGATAGATAATGAATAAACTGAAATAGATAGATAGATAGATAGATAGATAGATAGATAGATAATGAATAATGTATTTAGATTTCACAACAGATATATATTTTTAAATCTCTTTTAATTGAATTTCACTTGAATCATTTGTGAATACAAATCATTTATATTAAATTTATAAATATTTTAGATTGAAATTCAGATATTAAATAGATATGAGGTATTATTGATAAAATCCCATACATATTTTTGGTTTTTTTTTGGTTTTTTTCTCCATTCCTTCTACTTCGAATCTATTTTCTAAGCCTGTTTTTCCTTTTCCTATCCTTTGTTTTCTTCTTCTTTCTTAAATCATTTTACTTGTTTTCCTTCTTTTTTTTTTTTTTTTTTTTTACTCCAACATCATATCAATTTGAAACGCCGGTTCTGGTAAGATCACAGAAGTTAAGCAACGTAGATTTTGGTCAGTACCTAGATAGATGAACGTTTAGATAGATAGATAGATAGATAGATAGATAGATAGATAGATAGATAGATAGATAGATACATCTCCTCCTCCTCTTTATTGCCATATTGTTATAGTGGAACACAACTATTCTATAGTTAATAGACTCTCCCACCTATAATAAGTAGGAGTAGTAAGAGTAACAAGTCAGTCGCTCAGTGAGTCGGTCTGAGTTCAGTCTGAAGTCGAACGACCGGCTGACCGGTTGAACTCTCTGCCTTCGGGCGGGGAGGAACTCAAACGAGGCTACGCCGAAGGGCGGAGTCTCTTTCGGGGAGGTAAACCGACCCTGAACCCGTTTATACGGGTTCAATGGGCATATTTTTGGCCGAGCACACGGGCTCGGAGATCCCACGTTAAACCGGCCTTGTGCCACATGATGCCCTCGTGGGGGGGGGGGATGACTAAATACCGTCGCTCAGTGAGTCGGTGAGTCAGTCGATGCCGGACGACCGTTAGTTGAATACTAAAGTATCAGCGACCACAACAAGATTACTCTGCGTAATACCTATTATATCAAGTTCCTAACGTTTTGTACGTCGAACCTATTTTAGGACCGACTTAGTACAAATACAAGCCTCCACTGTGAAATTACTCCACAACACATATTTATCACAACGTCGACATTCCAACCACCTAAAGCTTGGTAAGTGGCTGGTGTAATCGACTACAGTTCGAAATTAGAAATCAGAGTACCAAGTTTCAATTCCAGTTGGGTTCGTTGTATTCACTTACACGTAAAATCCTTTGGAAAAAAGTATAAATCCGCCTCTTCCCCGCCCAGCTATGGGTTAATTAATAGAACTTGTATCATTAAAATTCACTCTTTTTTCTTTTATGTACCTTGTCTTTTCACGTAAGCGATCATAGCCCACTAAATCTTCCTGTTCCTTGTACCTCTTGAAGGATAGTAAAAAAAATTATTATCTCTAAAAAAATTTCTTAAAATGTAAAAATTATTGTTTTTTACGATTTATCAACCGCTTGGAGGTTATATAAACAAATCAGTCAATTGGTCAGCCGATTTTCTATTTTGGATTTGTACTCTGTACATATTTTAGTACTTTTTTCAGTATCTGTCTATATTTCTGAGATGAGGTATTATGTACATTATTTACATTGCTCAGACTATAATCCTCCTCTTTGTTGCCATAATTATCACAACGTCGACATTCCAACCACCTGAAGAAGGCCGGAGCGTACAACGGCTGAAACTTTGTGATAAATATGGCAACAAAGATTAGGACGATAGTCCGAGCAATGTAAATAGTGTACTTTATTTTCATTCGTACTTTTCTTATTTTTCCTATTTTATTTCCTTTTATTTATTTTTTCTTTTCTTTTGTCGTCTTCTTTTGCTGATTCCTGGCGCCATCTGATTCCTACCAAGTGTAGCCGACTCTCACACAGACGCTGATTGAATCTGTTTCTCATGAATATAACCGAAGCTCATCAGTTGAAGCTTTTTGGTGTCACTTTAACCAATGCAACCCATTGTTATTTTTTTTTTTTTTTTTTGTAACGCGAAACCACGCAGACATTCGCTGAAAATTGACTTTTCTTTCTCGTATCTTTAGGCGTCAGACATGAAATATCGCGGCATGCTTCGATGTTTACTTTGAATCGAACAGAGCATCGAAAGAATGTCGAAGAAGCTTGTTGTCAAATGAATGTTGCCCTTGGGGGTCAACTCTTATTACGACGGGAAAACAAATCCGACAAAAATGGGTGACACATTGACCTTTACGTGCTGTCTTAGCTTACGTTTGTTCTCTGGAACGATTCTCTTGATTAAATGTCGATAGATGGGATTCAACATATTTTTGCGTATATTTTTCCTTGTTTGTTTTTAACATTTCTACCAATAGTATATACAAAAACGTCACCAATTTTACGGCGACCTTGGTTCCAAGACTATGGTGGATAAGCCTTTTTAATACGAACCCACTAAGTATGCATCACACGTATCAATACATCACTGATTGGGATCTTTTCTGTTAATTCTACCCAAAATATTAATTCACCCCAAAATAAAAAGAATTTAAGGCTTGTCCCTGGTAACGGTAAAAAAGTGGTATACCCTGGAGAAAATTTCTTTTATATCAATTTGGGGACCTTTTTCTCCAGGGTATACCACTTTTTTAGCGTTACCTGGGACAAGCCTAAATTTACTAAAATTCATACCAAACTCTTCCAGAGCGAGGCCTTTCCATTGCACTTCGATTGGGCTAATCTTTGCGATTGCCCCAAATGTGGGCGACTCTGGCGTGGTATTTGTAAGTGTGGGGTCTGTATCCGCGCTCATTCACATAAACAAGCCAAATCAGATTCTTTATCCTTTTTTTTTTTAAATTGCAAAAATTAATTGTAAGTAAATCGAATATCATCCGCACTTATGAAATGTGAATAATTCCTTTATTTTTGGTAATTTTTCATTCTGAGAATTGGAGTTATTGAAAGGCAAGTTAAACAAATTTTGACTTAATATTTATAATTTTAAAAGAGTACCAAAAACTAATCAAAAAAACAAACTTTGATTTAAAATTCAGAATTTCAAAGGAGTGCACAAAAATATAATAATAAAAATTTGATTTAAAATTTATAATTTCAAAAGTGTGCCAAAACTTTTAATAAAAGACAAACTTTTATTTCAAACTTATAATTTTAATGGTGTATCAAAAAGTAAATAAAAAAACAAACTTTGATTTAAAATTTATAATTTAAAAATGTGTTAAAAAAATTAATAAAAGAAACAAACTTTGATTTAAAATTTATAATTTCAAAAGAATGCTAAAAAAGTTAACAAAAAACAAACCTTGATTTAAAATTTATAATTTCGAAGGAGTGCCAAAACATTTAATAAAACACAAACTTTTATTTCAAATTTATAATTTAAAAAGTGTGCCAAAAAATTAATAACAGAAACAAACTTTGATTTAAATTTTATAATTTCAAAAGAGTGACAAAAAATTTAATAAAACGACTATGATTTAAAATTTATAATTTCAAAAGATTGCTAAAATAATAAAAAAAAACAAATTTTGATGTAAAATTTATAACTTCAAAAATGTGCCAAAACATTGAAAAAAACAAACTTTGACTTAAAATTTTTAATTCCAAAAGAGTGTTAAAAAAATAATAAAAAAACAAATTTTGATTTAAAATTTATAATTCCAAAAGTATGCAAAAAACTTAAATAAAAACATTTTGATTTAAAATTTCAAAAGAATGTCTGTCTATAATTCTGAGATGAGGTATTAT